AGTCTATATGTCTCTATTGCAGATTGAAGGGGCATTGGAAGCGAAGCTGCCCTAACTACCTAAGAGATCTTAAAGATGGTAAAGTCAAATTGTATGGCTCTAATTCAGGTACATCCACTATCTAACTCCTTTATTAAGTTCATGTTCGCTAAAGATTGGTTGCTTATGGACAGTTGGAAGTATGGTAATGGATGGACCATATTGACGTAATTTTGAATAGATGGAATTCTATTCAGAATGGTTGTCATATGGCAATATGGAAATGTTTCCATTATGGGAGTTGGATATTGAGAATCTATATGAAACTTTTATGCAAGAAGGATGTTCAAAGGAATGTACTTTGAATGTGAGACTTCATTTCCATGGAATTGTTTTGTGACAAATCTCCAGTGGAATGTTTTGTAATATCATTGTCAAAGTCTCTGTGACTTTGGTGCCTTGACATTACAAAATGATCATTGCATGTAAGTATAGACTCGAACAGATTATAATAGTGGCAAGAATTTGGTATTCTTACGCTTGTGATAAGGATTTGGAATTGTGAAATGAGAATCATTGGAAATGTGTTCAATTGATCTGTTTCACAAATAAAGGACCATAGATAAACGTAGTGTGCATGTTTTGTGCATGGCATGACTAATGTTTTAACTCAAGTATTAATTTGATTACTCGAAACATTATACAATGAGTAAAGTCTAATTAATATGGTGATTAAATAAAAGTGCTTTTATTTATATTCAAATGTTTTGGACCATAGTTAATTAGGTTATTCTTGTGTTTCACTTCGCATGTTTTTACTTCCCAGATAATTGGATTATTCAAACTATCCACAGTCGTTCATGCTTTGGAAGTAAGTAGTGAATTAAGACTGTCATGAATATTTTCTAAGTGCTTAGACATAGAAAATGTTTGCTGCAGTGTTCATGAGTACTCCTAAAATAGGAATTTAAGTATTGGATAAACCCACGCTCAAGAACTACTACATGGATTTTATCACGAGTAATTCTGAGACGATAATAACTTATATTCTTGAAACGGGGACATATGACTTGTTGTTTACAAGTCGGTTGTGCATTGATAATATGTAAACGCATCAGGAACTTGATGTTATAACACGTATTGATGTATGTGATTTGATGAGTGAATAGTACAAGCATATGAGTCGAAGTTTATCCATTCCTTTTACCCTGAACGAGATAAAAGCGATATCTGTGGGGCCCTTGATGATTTAGTGATGACAACTAAAGCGTTTGGCCAAGCCTGGACTGATTTGATTTGTTCAATTAGTCAGTCATCATAAATCATAAATCAGGAAACAACTCTTGGAGAGAGATCGATTATAATCCATGTCTCATGTCCATTCGATATCTTGTAGAATGGAGGAATATTTGATCCCTTATCTAAAGGACGCGTCATTGATTAGATCAGAGTTCGACAGCGGCTTTTGAAAGCTACGATTGCTGGTCAAATTTTGAAGTCATACTTGTAATAATAGTTATTAGACTTATCCAAGTGGGAGACTGTTGGATTATATGTCTAAGCCCATAACTATAATTGGTATGTACTTGATTTGATAGCAGCATGGTCCTTTTGGGTTACCTTCACTCATGCAACTTGACAGGATGACAAGTGGAGAGAGAGTAGAATTTATTATGTGAAATAATAAATTGGTACCCAAAATGATTTTATATTATAAGATTTATATATTATTTGGAAATCATATTATTGATTGGTAATTAATCAGAAACTAATTTGACATTAATTTTGGGATTAATGGAGCTGATTAATAATGGAGGGGTTGTTTTGCAAATCATTGATAGTTGTGAAACTGGGCTTAGGACTTCATAGAATGGAGTGGACGAAATTTATGGGTAACCCCATAAGATTTTGTCCAAGGGCTCTAAGAGAAGGTCCATGGATTGCTTTGGGCTTAAGGTAAGAATTAGGGTTTCCTTATTCAAGTCCAGCTTCAAGACTAAGCAACCTAGCCATATATAAACCCTCTAAACCCTAAGAAAATCGGCTCATGCACTCTAGGTTGAAACCATGGCCGGTTTCCTTGTCTCTCCTTCTCATCCTTTGCAGTGGCTGTTTGTGACTCCATTAGAGGTGCAATACTTGGGGCACTAAGCTTTCAAGAGTCAAGGATTGACTTGTTATTACAATATAACAAGTGAGGTAATCTTCTAACCCTTTTATATACATGAATTTTGAAAACTGTATGCTAGTTCTAGGGTTATTGCTTTAGTATTCAATTTGCATGTTCAATAGAGAAAAACTTAGATCCAAAGCAATTAGATTTGCATGATCACATAGGAATGTTGTTATGCTCAAAACCTATCACGTACCGCTACCTTTGATACAAAGAAACTGAGTGGGTCAAGCTTGGTAGCCTGGTGAGCACATAGGCTTTCCAATCCACAATATTACTGTTATATTGTTTTGTATGTGTGTATGTGTGTGTATATATATATATATATATATATATATATATACATATATCCTAATTACCCATTCCTGTTATTCTCACTCTGCGATCCTAAAATGATAATCTCAAGGGACCTATCCTAAGGGATCTTTGTAACAACGAGTAGACAACACTTCCTCGGGGATTCCTTAGTACTACATGTCAGTAAGGCTACCATGAGGGGGATAGAGTACTCGAATGAACACACAATCCATACTCCCAGATAGTGTAATTCATTAACACCTACAAATTACGAGTTTGCTAGTGTTCCATTGAACCGTCTTGAAGATTATGTGGTCGTTATCAATACTTTACTAGATGACTGCTCTCAGTTGGGCATGGTCTCTCACTATTATATTATCTCTGGTATGGTCTCTCATATCATAGTATCTCTGGTATGGTCTCTCACCACTATTTTATCTCTGGTATGGTCTTTTATTATTATATTATCTCTGGTATGGTCTCTCACCACTATTTTATCTCTGTCATGGTCTCTTACTATTATCTCATCTTTTTCTCTCTGTACCCTCTTTACTCGATACCATATAAGTATAATAAAATACATATATACTCCATTGCAAATAGAAATCATTATCTTATCTAGCACAGATATCAGGAACACATAAAATAAGCACATGGGGAATCTAAGCAAATTAAATACTTGATATCTATGTGTAAGCTGAAAATAACTATGCACTCACTTGTTAAAACTGGATGATTGATGAATTCGGCAGCACTTCGCCTAGCACCTTGTCTTTTCCTTTTATATGACCTAGGTTTAATTATCACTAGGTCTTAGTCTAATACTCCCCGTGACTAATGATGGTCTAAATTTCTCACTAATCTCAATGTCTACATCAAGATCTATCAAGTAAGGAACAACCAGGTAGGATCATATTGGATGTAAGGTCTGTTTGGTATACATAGTATACTGTTTGGAAATCTCACTTTAAACACCTCATTAAATCCAACCTATACATCACTCTCTTAAGTAGAGCAATCAGTATAATGACTTGGAATCACTAATAAATCTTATTTATAGGTTCATAATAACGATTATGAACATAAATATAAGTTACACTTAAAATAAAATAATTGTAGCTTAACTTATAGAGATTTTAGTGAAAATCGGGAAATTACGCAGACATAACTCTGGCCTTGGAGCTTCTATTCTCCAGCTTTCTAACGCTGCATGGCCTCGCTAAAGTGGTCGGAAAACTAGAGAGTAAAGGGACTAGAGGTACGGAAGTATTCCAGAGGATTTGAGTGGAAATGGTGTAAAGAGAATGCTGAAAAACGAAGATATATAGGAGAATTTTTTAGGGTGCGTCGCGTGCTTGGTCGGTGCGTGTCGCGCACTTGGTCGAGGGGGGTGACGTGGCTCCAACATTATAGTCTTTTTATGTGTCATAAGGGATTAAATGTGCAAATTTAATCTAACTATGGATGAAACACGCAATTTTTAACGACATGAAGGACGGTCCGAGTTAATTTTTGAAAATAAGGATTAAATACGCTTTTTGGCATATACACGAGGGACAATTGGTGTAATTTACTCTAGATTTTGAGAAGTTTATTAAGATAATTGTGTTCCGTGGAGAGAGAGAGAGAGAGAGAGAGAGAGAGAGAGAGAGAGAGAGAGAGAGAGAGAGAGAGATCCGAGTCACAAAAAAAACCTAATGGTTAGAAAGAAAGAGAAAATAGTATGTTAACATTTTAGCAAAATTAATAATTGTGTTTTTTAACATTTTAGCAAAATTAATAGTATAATTTGCAACAAAAATACTTTTAATGATATTTTGTTAAACAAAATACAAACTTTGTTACCTTTTCCTTAAATTGATTTTCCTTTTTTTTGGTGGTTAACACATAATTTATGTTCATGAGTAAATATTGTTGCACACAAAAAAAGTAAAGCACACAATACTGTCTGTGTTTGAAGAGGTGGTTATCAGTAAGCACATGGGCATGGGCCATGAGGCTATGCATTTGAGCCTAAGCTCACATGGTCATGAGGGTTTTTTTTTTTTACTTTTATAACAATTTATTATTATTATTATTATTATTATTATTATTACTTTTTGGTCCCTTCAGCCTTAACTTTCAACACTCTGTAAAATACCATTTTTTACCATTATTATATCACCTCATATGATACACATATTGTTAAAAAGCATAGAGTACAAGGATCCCAGTGGCAAAAAAACCAACATCTACAGCTGTATAGATTGATATAAAAGAAAAAGAAGAAGAAGAATGGACCACTTTACCCCCGTGGCCATGTCCTAATCATATTTTCTCAAACACGCTTTGCTTCAAACGATGCAAATCCACCTCTCCATTGCATATATCATAGTGGATGTGATGCTGATGCATACATTTGTCAAAAAGCCAAACCATAAAGTTTTCTTCTATCCATATCACCATAAGCATGCAACTTTTATTAAAGTAAAAAAGAATCTTCAAAAGGGTACATATAGATATAGATAAATATATATATTCTTTTCATTCCAAACTTATAGAATAAAACCCATTCGGTAACATTTTGGTTACAATAGGTCACTAAAAACCTCAACTTATATAAAAAAAAGATCAGAAAACCCCCTTTTTGATCTTTTAACAAACAAAGATAATAATAATAATAATACTAGGAACAAACATAAACCCCAAGTGTATGGAAGGTGAACTAAAAATAAACCTCCATTTCAAAGAAGAAAAAAACCGAGCTCCGCCCTGGGCCCAGGTTGTGAAATTACTTAAATACCCTTCTACCCTACTCTCTAACTTCTAAGATGTTAGTCAATCAGGAACTACTGTTGACCCTATATATCCATATCGCGCACCTAAACAAGGGCAGCAACCTTTGCCCGATGACCCGAAACCACAAGGGCAGAATTGGAATTGGAATTTGGATTTCCTCTTTGGTCCTCGTGGAGTTGGGATGTTTCACAAATGGAAGTGGATTTTAAATCAGCGGGAGGGATAAAACAGTCAATTGACAAGCCAGGGACATTGAAGGCAACCTCTTCAATAGACCATGCTTCTTCCATTCTGGTTTTAGTATGACTCATTGCCATTTCACCAAATCTGAAAAGGGTAACGACTGAATGACCTGAATGGGCAATCATTATACCTTCCACAGATCTATAATCCTCCATACTTGAATTAATTGTTGTTTCCCAATACACAGCGTCACCTCCATTCGTTTGAATTCGAGTCAAATGTGAATCCTCCATGTGAACAATGAGTCCTGTTTTCTGACTAAAATACCCAAAAAGTACATGACGTATGATCTCAGCCGGACCTTCGCTCCTCGATTTCAATGTCTGCGGATCAGCAGTGAGTTTTAGGATAAAGCAATCTTCCCCGTTCATCTTCTTCTCCCCTACGCATTTCGCATCAGAAAACATACTCGCAGTTGTTCTTGGATCAAGCCCCTGTAACAAATATGTTTAAATTTGTTCACATTTGAGAGCAGAAATGGTGAAATCAAATTATGGTTTTTACCTGAAGGGCGCGACGGAGGGGTCTAACGGGGCCTTTGGCGGTGTGGGCGCCGAGCCATGGCGTGTGGCGCCAAACGAGATTTCCGTTGCAACCGGCGTGAACCTTGCTGCCGCCGACGGCGAGCTCGACGTACCACATATCGGGATTCATCTGCCATAGAACAAATCCGCCGGTGTCGGCGGCTCTGGCGCCGTGTTTGTTCTTCATTACTCTTGATGCGGTTTCGAACTCTGACGCTACCATCTTCACTTTTCCCATGGCGTAAGCGTTTTTTATGGAGTTTTGAAGCTTTTGACCACCGGAAGCGGCTGTGTACTGTTGTAGTATGTATTGAGCAGATGAAGTTTCCTGAATCAAAATAAACACATCAAATCGAGTCAGTGATTTAATATTACAAGTAACATCCATCAACGTCACGAGTTTCAAGTCGAATCTGTGAAGTAAAAACTCGTGAACTTGGTTATATATACTAGAAACGAAGAGCAAACGATTATAGTTAAATCTATGAATAATGATTTCAGAAATTATTGACCAAATTACTCGAAATAGGCTATAATCCAAACCCAAATATCAAATTTCTCAAAACAGAAAAGAAGTGTAGATTGTAGTTAGGAAACATTCGAGGGGAGTCTACAGTCTACTCTTTGAAATCTATGATGGATGACATTGAAGAGACAGACTTACAATAGGAGTGTCCTTTATGCTAAGGTGAGGGAGAGGATCATTGGTGCTAACGTGCACTGGGGCTAATGGTGCGCCCATTACGCCAAGCAAGAGCCTCAAATCAGACCTATGTTTGTAAGCCATGGTAGCTGTCATGGACGGAGTTCTAGAAAGCTGACCCTTCATCCAGTGTCCAATAACCGACCCGACCCGTTTCGACTCCCCAAGCTCCGACCCTTCTTGATCAGGCCCTTCATACAGCGGCGCGAGCGTCTCTCCGGTAAGGCTCCCGGACCGCCCAATCAATGGTTCCCCGTTTGTCAACTGTTTCGGCCGTCGGCGAAGAAGTGCAGACATCGGAGAACCACTCCTCGCCGGACTCTTCGACCTCGACCTCACCGGAGATAAACCACGTATGACTTCGTCTCTTAAAGCGGAGAAAAACCCTTGTTTCCTCTCCATCTCTTGTCAAAAACAACAGAGAAAAGAAAAAGTTACTCAAACAGTCTAGAAAACTATCTAATCAAGCAAGGGGAGCCATGTTAATGGGATTTGTCGAATACAGAGATGAAAATGGTGTGAGAAACAGCAAATTTGTTGGGGTTTCGAAAGAGAAAGAGAAGATTTTAGTGTAGTGAGTGGGGTATGAAATATGATGATTATGCTCCCTACGTTGTGTGTGTACTGCGTACTGTGTGAAGGGTGTGAAATGAGCCGACGCGCACTTAAACTCTGTGAAGACACACGGAACGCTGAGGGTAATTTATGAGCGTTACACCAAAAGTCAAATATGGAATTTTGATCATTTTATTTATTGTATTATAAATTATAATATTTTTTTTTCTTGAAGTGGATGATGATATATAGTTTTGATTGTTTCTGATTCGGTTCATTGTAAGGCACATGTGAAATGAATGATACTATCATTTTACTACGTAATATAATATAAACTTAAATATTTTTATGTAAAATGATAGAAAAAATAAAGGTTGCATTAAAAAAAAAAAAAACTTTAAAGAAAATTCACATGTCATATGTTTTCCATTAAGGTTATAATTTTTTTTTATTTTCTTTATAATTTTATAATTTATATTCATATTTTTTTATTTTTTTGTTCAAATGTATATTATTAAAAAAATTTATGTATTTTTTATTTTTTATTTGTTAACATTTATTTGAATAATGTTTTCTATATTTTTGACAGTTTGTTCGAATTGATTTTTCTAATATTTTTATATTTTGTTTGATTATATTTTTTAATGATGTTTTAATGTTAATATTTCTAAAGATTTCATAACCATTATAATCATACTTTGTAATGATTATTATTTTTTATTTCAAAGATTTAACAATATAGTATTGAGTTATATAATTGTTATTTTTATAAATAAAAAATTTATAAATAGGTATGCTATATGATTAAAGGATCATGTTGCATATATTAAAAATATAAAACTATATTATATTTTTGAACAATTGATGCTTCTATATTTATATATTTAATAATAGAGTTTTTTTTTTGTCTAATATCAAATAAGTATAATTATAATTTACGACTAGTTTTTATTTGTTAATAACTAAAAAATATTGCACACCCACAAAGTTTCAAAAGAAAGTAATAAATGAAAAACACAATAATCAAATATGATAAAATACCTTAAAACGTGATATATTTTTAAATCGTAATATATATGCAACAAATTTAGCTTATTGTTTAAAAATTTATAAAGTTTTATTTTGAGCTATCACAAAAATTGATATATTATATATTTTTAAAATTTTAGTGGGGATGGTTGAAATATACCATGGGTTCCTAACAAAACTTCTTGTTTCTCTTTTACATCCCTTATGATCGGTATAGTCTTTTAATTTGTGTAAGACATTTCTTATGTTCCAAAATGGTTATTAGAAGTCTTTTATACATCGTAGAGCTATTGAGCAAGTTATTTATTTTTTATTGACAAAATTGTAAGTTTGGTCACTATGGTATGTCAAAAATTGGATGTTTGGTACAAAATGTTTTGGAGTTGCACCACTGGTCTAAAAAATGAATTTTATTGCAGGTTTGGTCCAAATATTTTTGAAAAAACTTAAAATGACTGACTTACCCTTCATATTTTGTTTTCTTATTTTTCTTTTATTGCATAAATTTAAAAAAATAAAAGACAAAAAGAAAATATCACCCACCCATACACACACACACTCTTTCTCTCTATCTCCCTCTCTCTCTCACCATCTCTCTCTCTCTCACTCTCTCACTAAGAAGAAATTTATCAAGTCCCACCCTTTTTCCTTAACCTTTTCCAGTTACCCAGATGCTCAAACTCATCAATCTTTTTTTCAAACCCAACCCACATGGATCAAAACTTGTATGATCCGTTACTTCCATCAAACCTCCATCTAGAACCTCTGTTCTTCAGAAAATTGCTTCATTCTCTACACACATTGAAAAATTGAAAAACATACACTCGCACACAATGAAGAACAGTGTAAACCCATTTGAAATTGGAATCCTTCTGTTGGATGGTTTTCCCTCAACTGGTGTGCTTCACGAACCAAATCCTACTCTCACCCCTTCTGAATCCCTCTGTTTCGACTAAGAAATTAAAAATAGAGAGCTTATATTTGGATCTGAAACATATGTTGAGTTTTTCAAGAACTACTGATTTTTGAAAAATGGAGGAGGCGATTTTCACTGGATGGATCAAAACTTTAACCCAGTTGGATGATCAATCAAAATTCCCCATTTTTCACTGGATGGATCAAAACTTCAACCAAAAAATCAATGAAAAGAAACATCTAATTAATTTTCTCTATAGAAATACCCTCAAAAACCTAGATCTCGTTCCAGCTGGACATTTCTGGAGTTTTTTACCTCCATAGAGATGAGACGCGCAGATCATGCTTCAGTCGGTGAAATCGAGCAACCGATGACATCGGCCAAGAGGTTTCTGACAAGAACAGAAGGGGTTTCGATGATGGTGGTGTTTTTTCTGATAAATGCTTACTTTTCAGATCCATCCTTCGCCAAAAAAGATAAAACCCATATCTCGAAGTCTCGAAGCATTCATCACACTTCTCTGTTGGATTTTGATATGTTTGGTGTGAAAAAAGTGAGATTAATGGTGGTGGTGCGCTCCTGAAAGTGGTTTTTTATGCGTTGAGAGAGAGAGAGAGAGAGAGAGTGGTATTTTCTTTTTGTCTTTTTTTTTTAATTTATGCAATAAAAGAAAAATAAGAAAACAAAATATGAAGGGTAAATCAGTCATTTTAAGTTTTTTCAAAAACATTTGGACCAAACCTGTAATAGAATTCACTTTTTGGACCAGTGGTGCAACTCCAAAACATTTTGTACCAAACATCCAATTTTTGACATACCACAGGGACAAAACTTGCAATTTTGTCATTTTTTATTGCTTTTTACGTCGTTTTTGTGATTTTAATATACTTCATGGCAATGTATTAAAAAAAATTACTTAGTTATATAAAAATGGTATAGAAATGATAAGTTTAATGTATTTCAATAAGTATCAATACATTCGCTAATTAACATATTTTATGAAAATATATTAAATGTGGTGCACCTAGAAACATCACACTCTCGCTACGGTTTAATGGTGAAAGCTCTCATTACCGCCCTATCTCACCTCCCTTGATCGACTTGACTCATTTAAATATAATTTCCATTTCTTTTTTTTCAATTTTTATTAAATTATATGTATACTAAAAAATTATAACAAAAAATATATATTAAAGTTTATGGTTTCTAATTCCATGTAAAAAAAGAGTATAACATTTGTATAAAATATATTATTTAAACAAAAAATTTTAAAAAATAAATGTAAGATCGTGTTTTGGGGGCTAGGAGTTTTGGGTTTTTATTAAAAATAAAAGTTTATTTTATTTAAAATAAAAAAAATGAAATGAAACAAATAAATAAAATATGATAGAATTTGGGTGTCGAATGAAAACTATTAAGGTTTATGGACTAAAAGTGTCAAGTTAGGGAAACTTGTGTTTGATCTGAGGGTTTGACAAAATAATCATATAAGACTGATTTTGTGGAAGTTAAGATAAGTAATGACTATTTGCGGGCTAACATGAGCATTTTGTGAGCTTAGGGACCATTTTTTAAAAGAGTTTTGAAAGAATGGCCAAAAATGTCAACTTTTCCAAATCAGGGGGTCCGCACCGCGGTTCATTGTGTGTCACTTCGCGGTGTTGGTGCTGAATAGACTATATCAGTGTTTTGGTGCATCCATTTTCTCATTTATTCTTCTATTTTCTTCTCCTATCGTTCCAATAATCACTTCCACCTTCATAATCGATTTTCCCTTAGTTTTCTTGGTGTTTTGATAATTGAAGTTGTTAGATTAATCCTTGCTCAAATCCTGACATCTTGCATCAAAGAGGTAGTTTTCCCTTTTTTCCTTGAATTCGTTCTAGGGTTTTGGTTGGATTTCAAATCTAATTTTTATGGTTAAATTGTGATGTTAATGTGAAATTGTTGATGTGGTTTAACTCTTTTTTCCATCTACAAGCTCTAACCAACAAATGATTATGAGATTTGTGAGATTGGAGGATGTTTGATAGGTTTTCGATCCCTAGATCTTCAAATCTGAAATTGATACTCCAAGCAATGATATAAGCTTGAGCTTATGGTTAGATGGTACATTTCCCTTCAATCAATGATCCATTTGCCAACCCTTTGGCGTATGGTTAGATACCATGATGTTTGAATCAAGTTCTAGTTCTAATGGTGATAATTTGGGCATTTTCATTTATAGGGTTCTTTGATTCAAATTATTGATTCCAAGCAATGATATAAGCTTGGACTTGTGATTAGATTGCTTATGTTCTTTCAAATACATGACCCATTTGTTAATTCATGAGTAATGGTGAGATTTCTAGAGTTTGATTCAAGTTTAGCTTCTGTATTATGATTTGGGTATTTTCAAACCCTGAGTGTTTTAGATCAAGTTTCATAGTTCCAAACTTGGTTGTAGAACTCGCTACTCAGTACCTGTTCGGCCGACTACCGAGTAGCGAGTACTCGGGAAGTACTCGGATTCGGTAATTTATGTAGAAATATTTTTAGGGAAATTATATATGCCTCACATCGTGAATAATTACTTAAAATTTAAGATATATATATATATATATATATATATATATATATATATATATAGTATAATCACATGTGTGTGTGTGTTAAATAATAAATCATTAAGTATATTTTACATATTAATCACCGGGTTGGCCAAGTTTTACAACATTGCTCGATTCAGTAAGGGGCCGATCGGGGAGTGCTCAGATTCTCTAACTCGCCTCGGTAGGGGGACGAGTAGGGAGTACTTGGCCGAGTAATCAGCCAACTCGACGTGTTTTACAACACTGGTTCCAAACAATGATGTGATTTTGGTGTTATGTATAAATTATGTATTTCCATTCTAATCTATGATCCATTGGCAATCCTTGTCTCATGGTCTATTTTATGAAATGTTGAATAAAACTTTTCTTTAATTTGAAATTTTTAACTTTGTTGATTATGAAACTATGTTATAAGCTTGAATAACCACATTGAACGTATCATTTTATCTAGTTTTTGTATTCAAGCATTCCTTTAAGAATTATAAAATAAATTATACATCTTGTGTCATAAACGGCGTTGTAATGGTTAGTGAAATGTCTAAGGATATGAAACTTGGAATTTAGTTATGTTCCAAGCTCTAGTTTCTTATAACATCCTTATTCCCTCATGAAGTGCCAATC